TGCTCTAACTGGGTAACTGAGGCAAGCACAGTAAAGGGATGGCTTTACAAAGGCCTGGGCAGAGGTAAGGAAAACTAACAGGGCTGGTGAAGCACCAGAAGCTAACAAAGTGGCAGGTCTACCAGTGCCATGCCTGGTCCAGAAGGAGCAAAGGAGAAGTGGTGACCAGAACCAAGAGCGAATCAGAGCTCTGGCTGGAGGACAGAGCTGCAGGCAGGGCTGCGACTTTTAGAAGAGAGAAGCACCACTGCCGACTGCTGCCCTGCAGGAAGGGAGGCCATGGCGTGAACAGGCTGACCTCACTCTCTTTCTACCCATAGGTCTCCTGCAGGTGCCTCCATGGATCCAACCCAACAGGAAGCTGAAGGGCAAGACAGCCTTGCTGATACAGTGCCTAGGGCTCAGCCTTCTAGGGCACAGAGCAGTGGGAGGAGGATAGAGAGTGGATTTGAAGGGCGAGGTAGGGAATATCCACTCTGTGCACCCTTCCCAAAACTCTTCTACTGCTAAATATTTATAATCTCTATTCATGAATAACACCACTGATAAAGGTTTAATCTCCAACATCTACAGACAGCTAATACAACTAAATAAAAGGAAGATGAATGATCCAATTAAGAAATGGGCAATGGACCTAAATAGAATATTTTCAAAAGAAGACAGAAGGAAGGCCAAAAGGCACATGAAAACATGCTCAAAGTCACTAATTATCCGAGAGATGCAAATCAAAACAACAATGCGGTACCATCTCACACCTGTCAGAATGGCCAACATCAACAAATCAACAAACGACAAGTGTTGGCGAGATTGTGGAGAAAAAGGAACCTTTGTGTTCTGCTGGTGGGAATGCAGACTGGTGCAACCACTGAGGAGAACAGTGTGGAGTTTCCTCAAAAAACTGAAAATGGAACTCCCATTTGACCCAGTAATCCCACTTCTAGGAATATATCCCAAGAAACTAGAAACACCAATCAGAAAGGATATATGCACCCCTATGTTCTTCGCAGCACAATCTACAATAGCCAGAATTTGGAAACAGCCTAGGTGCCCATCAGCAGATGATTGAATCAAAAAACTATGGTACATCTACACAATGGAATACTATGCTATATCAATGAATACTATATCAATGAAAGAGAAACACCACATGACCTCACTCATTTGTGGATAATGAAGAACATTATAAACTGATGAACCAAAAGATAGATATGGAGACAGTAAAGCAACAAGCAGATTGTCAAATTACAGCGGGGAGGGGAGGAGGATCTGGGGGAGATAATAGATCAACCGAAGGACTTGTATACATGCATATAAGTACAACCAATAGACTTAAAATTCTGGGGAGGGAGGGAATGTGTGGGAGGGAGGGGGGCAAAAAAAATCAATAAAATATGTTAAAAAATATATATATATATATATAATCTCTATTCATGAATTTCTTTTGCTATACACATTTCTAAGAATTGATTGAAAAAAAATACATACACACACACACACACACACACACACACATCCAATACCAGTGGGTAATTTCTATTATTATTTTCATAGGAACACAAGATTCATTGCTTCATTCATTCAATTGTATTGTAAAGGTAAGTTTTCTCCATATCACCCTGAAATAAACATAAAGAGTGAAAAATTATAGAGAATATTTTATCTACACTGAAACTAGAAAAGAGCCAAGATTCTCAAGTTACAGACTATAAGAATTATCTGAGTAAAAACTTTATTAAATCAAGGGACAACCCTAAAAGGTGATATGTTCCTCTACAGAGTTCAGTGGGTTTTTAAATTTCTCTGTACATAAGGAGAGAGTTCAGAGAGGCGCGGTGTTGGAATGGTGAGGAGTGGCATAAGCAAGTCACGGGAGACATTGGGAACATGAGGGTGTGGGGAGTGCTGGGAGGAAAGGGGGCCTGGTTCCCTACCAGAGTAGTGCAGAAAGTGACACTGATGGAGATACTGTGTGAACCCGCTAACATTATTATCTGTGAAAGCCTGAAATGTAAAAACTTAACACAGAGGATTAGTCTAGAGGCAAGAAATGAATGAAAATAACAATTACCTTTGTAGATAACTTGTCCCTTCGCTTGTATGTGCTAAATAGAATCAACTACACAGTGATAGATAAGTACTAAATATCTGTCCATCCCCCTCACCCACATACACACACACACACACACACACACACACACACACACACACGAGTAAGCTGTGATTGACTCACTCACTACTTACACTTTGCTGAATGAAATCGATCTCTCTAGGCCTCATTACTGGAAACAGGATTAATAATACGAATAACTATTTGGTGTCATTTTTGTAAAGATGAAAGGAGTTGATCATCAGGGATCATTATTTAAGAGCAGACGATATTGCAGAATTATTATGAGGTGAAATATCTAAAGTCACTGTCTTTCCAAAATACTATTCCTCCCAACATTTTTTTGTTGTTGTTGTTGTTTGTTTGCTTTGTTTTTGGCAAATAGCTAGTATGGCTAGAATTGCCTCCACTTAGGAATGAGTAACAAGTACAAAGCTGTCAACAAGTATAGTTTGTATACACTTAATTGTTATTTTTAAAAGAGGCAAGTCAGAGGCAGATAAGCAATTCTGCAGGGTAACTAAGTTGGTTCAAGTGTGGTCCTGATATACCAAGATTGTGGGTTCAGTCCCTAGTCAGGGCACATACAAAAAGCAACCAATGAATGCATATATGGAACAAAAAATTGATGTCTCTCTTCCACCCCTCTCCCCCCAACCCCCGCCGCTCTCTCGCGCTCTCTCTCTCTCGCTCTCTCTCTCTAAAAATAAAGACATAACACAATAGATAAAAATTTCAGAGAAAGTCTTCTCCACGTGTTTAAAGAAATTCTAGAACACATGAAACTTTTAAAAAATAAATGCAAAGTGAGCTGCAAAGTCAGGGGGGAAAATTGAAAATAATTAATAAAACCATCACTGAAATGAAGGCTATATTGGAATGAGTAAGAAATATACAAATATTGTTTGTTTTTTTAAGTAAATTCCCTAGGAGATAGACTTGAAAAGGGTAACAAAGACTTACAGGAAAATGAAAGCATTCTAACATAGTGATGGAGGGAGATAAATTATACATTAGAGTATTAATGAGAGATGACAAAGATGAGTGTTACTGTCCTGACAAACAACCAGGGTACTCTTTAACTTCACGCAGTTAAAATCTCTAATTAAGCTTTTATGTCTAAGGAAACGTCAGTAAGCAATGGGAATAGGGTGTGCCCCGGGCCAAGTTGTCCCATTTCAGCTGTGCACACCCGAGCCTGCTCTGTCTTCTACTTGATTCTCCACATCTGCAATGGTATCTTGAGAACAGTTACTCTCAGTTACTGTATTTCTTTATAAATTGTCTGAGAGGAAAAACAGCTCGGTGACAACCTGAGCCCCCACAAAATGTCAACGGCGAATGCTGGAGGCCACAGTGATAAATAATGGACAACAGACACTATGTATAGATCATGCATATTGATGGAACTCACTTTCTGGCAGATGCTGTCCTAAGACCCTTACAATGATCAACTTCTTTCATCTTCACAAAAATGGCACCAGTTATTAGTATTATCAATCCTGTTGCCAGTCATGAGGCCCAGAGAGATGGATTTTTTTCAGCAAAGTGCAAAAAAGACTCCAGCCCAGCAAACTGGCTCCAGAGCCTTCATCATTAGCTCCTTAAATCTCTATACTCCTCGCAATTTACAAAGCCCTTTAGAAGAAATACAGTTGGTATTGGATCCTCTCAACAATGCTTGAAAGTAAGAAACATCCTCCGTTGTGTAGGTAGGGAAACTGAGGCTCAGAAGCATTACATTTCCCGTAGGAAATCAGCAGCACTAGCAGCTGCCAAGGCAGGGACCTGACATCTACCACACCTCACTCCCAAGGTTCCCCGCGTGCTCTCTCTCCTGCCTGGGCAGCCGGGTTGGTAAGGATTGAATTGCATCTGCACAATCAGATACGCTGAGGGAGAAGAAAAGCTGCATCTAGGGTGTATTGGGTTTGGCATGAAAGTCCTGACGCTGAAAACACGACATTATCCCCGGGGCTGAAATATGATTTCATCTGGCCTCGGTGTCAGGAAGTATCCGTGGGAAGAACAGGAGGAGGAGAAGCTGACCGAGTGAGCGGGTGAGCGGGGTTGAGCAGCTGACTCCAAAACCAACCCTGCCTGGGAGCCTAGCGCCTGTCAGAGCGGCCAGGCCACTGCGGCAGCAGCTGGGGAAAGGGAACCAACAAGCCACTGCGGGATGTGAGGACAGAGGAGAGGAACCCGGGTCCGAGCCCACCACTGAAGCCAGCGGTTGTGCCTTTTCTGGTGAACGTGCCCCTCTTGCCTGCCTGCCCTCTCTTCTCCACCCCTCCCATGATGTGCCCACCGTGTCATTCACCCCCTGGCCGCCGTTCCCACGCTTCTGCCTTCTTTCTCAATAACCCAAGGAACAAATCAATTCTTTCGGGGGAAGAGGAGGGGAGCGCCTATGGCTTCTAGCAGCCGGGGCATTGCAGTTCTGGGGTGCACCACCCACTAACTCGTCATCCTCCCATTGCACGCTTCACACCCAGCCAGTGTGCTTCCGATCCGCAGTGACCCCCACGCCTCCTCCCTTAAAAAAATAAATAAAATAAAATAAAAAATAAAACTGCAGTCCAATAATGCTGACATGGCTAGTAATCGGATGTAATGGCTATTGCGGCCAACTCCCCGAGAAGCGGGAGCTTAGGGCAGGGATGGGGAAGCCTGGAAGGCAATTCCCTCCAAGCAAGGAGGCCCAGGGGTGCAGCCGCACAAAACCACGCGCCCCCCGGGCCCCCACCCGGGGGCTCCCGCCGCCGCCTCGGCTGCTGCTATAGAAACAGCAGGTGTACACACGGGACTGAAATGGAACACCCATCCCCAGGCGGGACCGCGCCGGCCCGGCCTGCAGCCGCGGTCTCCATGGTAACAGCGCGGGGATACTCACTCCATCGCGGGGCGGCGGGGTGCTGGGTGCGGGGTGCGCGGCTGCAGGGCTCGCGGGCGCCGCTCGCATCTGCCGGAGCCGGAGCCGGAGCCGGGGCTCTGGCCGCAGCGCGCGAGGTGGAGCGCCGAGCGCCCCCCCCCCTCCTCGCCCGCACCCTCTCCTCCCCTCGAGGGTGGAAAGTGAAAGCTCGGGCTCTCCGGCTCCCAGCCTGCGAGTAAAACGGGAAGCAATTGGATAGTGTGGTGTGTTGGGCGCTAGAGCAGCCACTCCACTTAACGGTGTCGGGGAGGGAGGTGGCCGGCAGCTGCGCACCGGGAGGGAGACGCGGCCGCCGGCGCGCAGGGCCCGGGCGCCGGAGGCGCCAGGTGCGCAGGCGGCTCCCCGGGGACGCAAGGGGCTGCGCTGGGGAGCCCTCCCGGCGGGCGGGAGGGGGAAATGGGCTTCTGGGGCTGGTGGCACCACCCCGATGGGAAACGATGGAGGGAAACGAGGGAGGCAGTGGCAAGGAGGCAGTGGTCGCGGTTTGGAAGTTGGATGGAGAAAGAAGCATCTGGCCTCAGCAAATAGCAAGTACTGCCCCGAATGGGACCGGGCACGGGTTTGGAAACGCCATTGTGCCAACCCAGCGGACACTGGTTTGAGTTTCCCAAGAAGAAAACTCCAGCCCCATTGCGGCACGTTAGTGCAGTTTCATCACTTTGGGGATCCCACGCCCTTCTCGTCGTTCCGCATTCTGCGCATTCCCGCCCATCCACAAGATCCCGTCCTGCGGTCCTCTCCCTATCTCTTCCTTTGGAAACAATAGGTATACTAAATTTGGATTCCCGAGTTACCAAGCCCCCACCCCAGAGTTATGCGCCTCCCTGGGCCCTGTATTCCCTCCCTACAACCCCTCTGAAAACCCCCCACTCCTAGAGGCTTCCAGAGCGGGCACCGCCCAGTACCCTGCACCTGCTGCGATGAAGTGCAGATGGGACACCTGCCAGGCTTCCTTGTGCCTTACTGCCCAGTTCCTCTGTGAGTGGTGTCTGCTGGGTGCAGAGGCCGAAGCCCAGGCATGGCCATAACATCCTGCCCCCGTGGAGCTCACAGGTTAAAGAGAAAGACAGCACAGAGGAAAGGGGAAACTAAACACAACCATAAACAGTGAAGATACTGCTTTAAAGATCAAGTGATAAAATGTCATGATGAAGGTTTTACAGTTAACTTGTGGTGATGATTGAACACCTCTGTGAATATACTAAAATTCATTGGATTGTACATTCTGGGTGAATGTTATGGTATATGCAAGCTGGGTGTTTTTTTTTTAAATATATATTTTTTATTGATTTTTTTACAGAGAGGAAGGGAGAAGGATAGAAAGAAATATCAATGAGAGAGAAACATCCATCAGCTGCCTCCTGCACACCCCCTACTGGGGAGGTGCCAGCAACCAAGGTACATGCCCTTGCCCTGAATCGAGCCTGGGACCCTTCACAGTCCACAGGCGGACACTCTATCCACTGAGCTAACCTGGTTAGGGCTTAAAGCTGTTTTTTTAATACTCTGATGGAGAGGAAAAGGGAAGTGGGCCTGCCACAGTAGGGTGGTCAGGAAAGGACCCCCTGGAGAGACCTGCCTGGGAGGGGAGAGGGGCTGGGATGTGCAAGCCTCAGGGGAGGAGCATTCTAAGGAGACATCAGCGTGGTTAGTGGCCCTGGCTGGAAGGAGACCCGTGCCAAATACTCCCAGTGGATTCATGGCTCCTCCTTTCCCTCTGGCACCTGAGGCACAGAGTCAAACCCAGGAAAGAGTCACGGTGCTGCTTTGTGGAAAGGGATTCTGGATCCTCTCCAGATTTCCATCGCAGAATCTAGTGTGAACTGGGAGATCACAAACCCTTTGTAACCTGTGCCCGTTGCCAGCTTCCATCCCCTCTCTGCTCTTCCCCGTTCACATGCAAGCCCCCTGAAAGGGTTGCTTCTTCTGTACTCATCATCTTTACACCCTCACTGCCTCTACGGCTCACCTTCTGTCTACTCCTGTAGCATATGGGATTACGTTCATCTGTGAGTAATTAAGAGGTTTCACCAGGAAAGGGGTTTGTTTTTCTACCTCTAAAAGGTTCAGAGATAACGCAATCCTGGACCAGTTTGGCGGCTCTCAGAGACCTAAGGGACCCACGCTTCTCCGGGACGTTCCTCTGTCATTTCTCTTCTCCCTCCCGAAAGTCACTTCATGGTCCAAGTGAGCTGCTCCAGCTCCAGCCATCACACATGCGTTCCAATCAACACAAAGGTGAGAGGAGCTAAGAAGGGCAAAGGAAAGCATGCCAGCTGCCTCTGAAGAAAGGCTTCCAGAAGCTGCCGCAAGACTTTCACTTACAGCTCTTTGGCCAGAATTCAGTCATACGGCCACAGTCCATTTCCCAGGACACTGGGCGAAGCAGTCATCACTCTGCATAGTCATGAGCCTTGGCAAAAACGTGGGTATCGGAGGGCAGCCAGCAGTCTTTGTCATACTGCTCAGTCCTTAGCATTCGGTCTCCCCATGCCACTGACACTGCTCACCAGTCAATGCCAAATGCGAGGGGCGTGTCCCATTCCTCTCGTGTGATTTATGAGCAGCGTTTGACATTTTGACCACCTCTTTTTGTATTTGTTGTGTAGGTTTTTTTTACTTCCAGTTGGGCTTGTTGAAGTATAATTCATACATGGCAGAATTCGCCTTTTTGGAGTTTAGGTCTATGAGTTTGGAGAGTATGAAAACCACAAAAATAGTCACCATAGAGAACATCACCATCACTCACACGGTTCCTTTGTGAACCTTGATAGCCAATCCCCTTCTTCTACCCCTGGGAAGCACTGATGGATTCCTGTGCCTCACAGTTTTGCTTTTTCCAGAAGGCCACGGGCATAGCGTCAAACAGTACATAGCTTTTTGTGTTTGGTTTCTGGCACTGAGCAAATGCTTCTGAGAATCATCTATGTTGTTGTGTGTATAGGTCATTCCTTATCAGTGCCGAGTACTAGTCCATTGTTCAAATGCGCCATGATTTTATATGTCCATTCACCAGCTGGTAGGTATTTAGATTGTTTCCACTTTATGGCAATTACTAATAAAACTGCCATAAACATTCATGTGCAGGTCTTTGTGTGAACGTATGTTCTTTATTTCTTTGGGGTAAATATGTAGGACCACTCCTTCCACGTTGAAATGTCTTCAGTAATGTCACACGGCTACCACGCCACCCCTTCTCTGCTACTTGTCTCTTAAACATTGGATTTCTGCGGGGTCTATCCTAAGCTTTCTTTGCTTCTCACTATACATACCCTCCCTGAGCAATTTCATCCACTTCCTTGGATTTAACTTGTACATGTGCTTTCTTCCAAAACTGAATCTCCAGCCCACATCACCCTCCTGAACTTCAAAACTGAATATTCAAAGGCCAGTATAGCATCTTCACAAACACCACAAGCCCAACGTGTCCAAAATTCACTCATCATTTCTACCTGTAAACGTCCTCCTGATATAATCGGCCTAGCCCAACAACAGAGAGGGAAGTGTCCACACAGATGTGAATCTCTTTGATTTCTCACAATCCTGAATTCCCATAAGCGGGTCATTCAACAAGATTGATCCAGACTGCCTTCTGAGGAGCCACAGAGTCCATTCACTTCCCCCATCCCCATTGCTGTTCATAAACAGCCTCCCTGCTGGCTTCTTGGTCTCTGCTCACATGTTGTTCTAACGCATTCAACTGAACAGAGTAACCTTCAAAACCACAAATCAAATCATGTCATCCCCTCCTAAAACCTTTCAATGGGCACCTCTTAACTGTAATATAAAGGGTTTTTGTGGGGATTTTTTTATTTTTGTATGAATATACAAAGTGTTCCAAAAATGTATGCGCACTTTGAATAATTATAAACTAGTTTTTGTTAACATACAGTTCATTTTCAAAATTAAGTTGTCAGCTATTAAAGTATGTATACATTTAGGGGGACACCCTCTATATTATTTTATTTTTTCCACTAGAGGCCCAGTGCACTAAATTCATGCATAGTTAGGGTCCCTGTGAGGCTTCACATATTTTATTGATTTTATAACATGTACCACTTTGCATTTTACTACATATATAATGTTACCATTAAAGATATGTAGGAAAGAGCCCTGGCCGCTGGTTAGAGCATCAGAAATCAGACCAAAGAGTCATGAGTTCAATTCCTAGTCAAGGGCACATACCTGGGTTGCAATTAAATTCTGGCCCCAGTCAGGGTAAGTGCAGGAGGCAACCAAGCCAATCAATATGTCTCTCTCACATGGATATGGATGTTGATGTTTCTCTTTCCCTCTCTCTTTTCCCCTCTCCCTCCCTCCTCCCCCCCCCCTTTCACTTCCTCATTCCTACTCTCTCTAAAAAAATCAAAGGAAAAAAATATCCTCAGGTGAGGATTAACAACAACAGCAGCAACAACAATAACAAAGATATGTAGGAAAGAAACCTATTTCTAGCAGAAACTATGTATTCATTCATCTAGAGCTGTGCATGTATATAAGCCATGTGTGTGTGATTAAATAATTTACTGAATTTTATTGATTTGTAGACTTTCCACTAGAGTTATTATTACAGAGTCACAAAGTTACCTTTGTGTCTCACTCTTCTTCTACCATTAATAAGTTCTCTCTGAAAATATGTCACCTCAAATGGCTTCTTATAATTCTAGTGATGTTGAGTAAGATTAGCATATCGATTGTGAAAGGATGCTGGCAAAATGCAGTTATTTTCTTTGGTTAAACATCAGCAAAGGTCATCTCTCTTCTGCCTGTTTACTTTTACATATCTTTATGATTATGCTCAGACAAGACACTAACAACACTGACTTCTGATTCATGGATGCTTCTTGGAGTCACAGTCTGTTGGCGATGTGAGGGATTCTGCAGGTTACCTAGTGCAAAAGCCAACAGACATGTCTACCATTGACCTGGATCGTCCTCATCGTTGAAACACATTTATTGTTTTCTT